CCTCTGATCAGCTTTGTGGCCCTCCTCTGGACTCGCTCCAACAGCTCCATGTCTCTCCTGTACTGGGGCCCCCAGAGCTGGAGGCAGTACTCCAGGTGGGGTCTCACAAGAGCCGAGTAGAGGGGCAGAATCACCTCCCTCGACCTGCTGGTGCCACCTCTTTTGATGCAGCCCAGGACACGGTTGGCTTTCTGGGCTGCAAGGGCACACTGCCGGCTCATGTCGAGCTTCTCATCAATCAATATTGGATTAAATTCTGATTCAATTATTATCTGCTCCAAACCCATTTCTCTACCTCAAATCTAAAGCAGATTTTTAATTTCAAGAAAAGCTAAGAGAAATAAAAGTGCACGCACAGAACGGTGCTCTGAGATAAAACAATGTAGGGGAAAACAAGCCTCTCGCTGTGCAACGTCCTTCAGATGAATCCAATACAACCATCACTGTGCTACTCACCATCAAACATTAGTCACACCTGGGCCCTACATTATGGTTTGCCATTCAGATGCAAACAGTGCTGTGTAGTCAAGCCATCTTTAAAGACCTATTTCCTTGGTGCAGTTATCTGAAATTACTTGTTGGCAAGACCGTGTTGGGATCCCCATTCTTTGACCACTGTCTTGACTTGAGGGAGCCAGGAGACACATTTTTCAGGCATGAAGGTTGTTAATACTAACAATTCATAAAGAAGGAGGAAGATACTTGCAGATTCATGTTTTAGCCTAATTGCCTTAAGGCAATTGCTAGTCAGCTATGGCTTAATTAGCATCTGAACAAGATACTGAATTGTTGGGACTTTATTTTCGTCCTTTTTCAGATCCCTGCCATGGGCATTCACAGAGGTCAGAAATCAGCACTGTTTGGCTCAACATTTCCAAGTATTGCTCTGCGTATGCCAGAATTAGTGTGAATACCTTCCGTGTGCTGATTCATGATTATAAGACTGGAGTATGATTTTCGTGACACTGACTCATAGGAATGACATCATACTCCTGAGACAGATCTGTTCAGTTCAATGGGACCAACACAAAGATGGAAACGCTCTAAGAGTCTAATCCTGGGAGAATGTTTTTATGTTGGAGGATGGATGTTTTAAATAAACAGCCAGGACAAGAAGGAAAACAGCATTAGCTTCCTATTTGTCTATCATGGCGTTTTGGGGGTTCTTTTAAATTAAGGTACTTAAGTAAAGTCTTTAAGTGTCTTCTGTTGCCCCAAAGCTGCCATGGCTATAAGACCTATTTCATTTCCCCCTCAAGTGGAAGCAATTGGCACAGGCTGGTTCATCATGGTGTGAAACTCTGATTTAGTAACAGGATTTTCTAAGCAGCCCTATTCTTCTTTACATAATTTCTTCTATTACCTCACTTCTTACAATCTTTACAGGAAACTCTGCTTACCTACCTTACATTTATTTATTTTCTTAATTCAGCTCTCTTTGTATTAAATAACCGCCTTTCTTGAGTGTTTTCTGAAATCTCAGTGGTATCTCATACAGAGTTTCATTTTTATTCCCCCAAACCCACTGGCGCAATGCTTGTAATACTGTTCTGTAAGCTGCTAAAATTAACTTTAGCAATTGTATTCACTGGAATTTGGACTATCAAATAGAGTGATTCTTAAAACTTCCTTATCCCAATTTTCCTTTGCACTCATTGTTTGTTATGGCATCATTTGTGAAGGTCACCCTAACCTTATGGGAGAACCAGACAATCCTAATTATATTCTTTTTTGCTTCTTTGCTAAGTTGAACAGTTCCCCATAACATTATAAAAACCTTTCTCACAGAAAGCTGCCCTCAGTCTTCAAGAATGGAAACAGTATATTTTCAACCTAATTTGATTTTTATGATTTGAAAATATGCTGAACTGACATCTCTAGAGGCTGGGATCTGCTGTTTACACACAGAATAAAGACATCAGAAAGAAAAAATACAGCAGAAGCTTGCCTTGAAACTGTCTTTGAATGACCACTTCGAGGGGTGACAGAGCATTTCTGCGGCTCATTCAATCCTGTGGCTCTCTGATGAGGCTTCTAATAAACGAATACAACTGTAATGTTGTTTTCTCATATATAACACTACTCCAGTATGTCTGGTAGGCAGGGCACTGAACACCGGTCATGAGGCAATGACTTCCAGTTGGTTACTGTATTTTTAAATGTCAAATTTTATCTTTAAAAACGTACACTGTGTAAAGGTCTAGCACAGAATTACATTCCCTCTCTGTAGATCATCACAGGAACTCAGTTGTTATGCACTTACCATGTACCTTAGCTTTCTGTAGTCCATTTCAGCTCCTGCGGAACAAATTCCTTCCTACTAGGGCTCAGTCGGCTTCAGTAATATCTGGATTTATCAGTGACCCTTTGTATCTTCAACCAACAGATACAGACGTTTCCATCTGTCTTTTGTTGGATGACTCACTGCTTTATTCCTCCTCCCAATTTATGGTTCTGCTGACTGCTCTGAGAGTTCAAACTCTTCCACATCATTAAGATCTAACTAAGCTCTCTGTATACCAGATACAGTCATGCAGCTCAAAAATTACAAAAGGTAAAATGGTTGAAATGAATATGTTCAAAAAGTCTCATCTTACCATTATAACAATTTTTTGAACTTAACTTTTTCATATTCCTGTTTCTGTTTTCCCCTAGTTATAAATGACTTGACTATTTTTCTATCTTTTTCTATCACATTTTTCTATCTTTTTTTTTAAGGCAAGAAAATCCCTCGCCCATGAGAACCTCCTACCTGAACCACAGGAAATGTTTACAGTGCAATTGCATATAAATCTTTTGGGTTTCTGATTTTGCTAAAAACACAGATCTCAGCTCAGTTTCATTAAAAACTTTACTGAACGCTAAGTAAGCCTGACAAAATTTCCAGTTCTGCATTGAAAGCAATGAGACATATGCAACATGATGCACAGTGAAAATCATTCCTTTTAACTGAGTTTCGCTTTGATGTCTATAAATAGATTGAATACCAAGCTCACAGCAAAAGCCAAAGGATGTGTATGGGAGCCTGAAGATTGAAGGTAGTGAATCAAACTCATCAGATAATATGGTCTCTTTGCTCTGCAGATAACAAATACCATAGCGCCTGCTAATCTAAATTATTAAAGTATGCCTAAGATCTACTGTCTAATATGTTCATGGAGGACCTGTGTTGTAATTCACATCATGGACTGACAAGGGCTGGTCTCTGCTCATTTCCTGGAGGTACCCTGTTATCAGTCCAGCTGAGTGTATTTTAGAGCTCAACTACTTCATCTATTCATCATCCTGGTATATTGATGACTATCTATCAAAGTGAAATAGTTCAGCTAATATATTCTCCTTTCATACTTTCTTTTAACAAGTCAGTTGAAAGGGACGCTAAACTACTGAACTTTTATGTTTGTTTTGAAACTGCCTTTTAATCCACTTAAGTGTCTCATCCAGATCTTGAAGAACAAACAAGCAAAAGAGCTGGATTCTATAATGATTAATTACAATGGGAATAAGTCCCAGCCTAAACATTTACTGAATACTTAATCCCTGTTAATGTTTTTACTGAATATAAAAACCAACTCCATGGAAAAATATATAGTATTTTTTATATAGTATTTTTATTATCATTATCCTGGGTGGGGTTTTTTTGGTTGGGTTTTTTTTTTTTCCCTTCAGCAAGTGCTTCCTTGGGAAAAATGTAACTAGTAAAAAGCAGAAATAAGACTTTTTGGTGTGTGTGCATGAAGGTAGTGTTGCTAACAGAGGAAATATTTTAGCACAGGATAAACTATGGAAATAGGCAAACATACAAGAGGTTTATTTGATATGCACAAGCCAACTAGGGCAGTCAGCATGTGTAGAACACCAGAACCGTGTGGGAAAGTGGGTAGCAGCAGAAGGTGATACCACAAAGAGGTATGGCACAGCGTATGATGGAAAGACAGACAATCCAGTGTCAGCTCATTTTCTTTGCTCAGAGTCTGGCTCATCTAACCAGACTGTCCACTTTGCTTTCACTCTTGTGACATGCAGAAGTCCCATTCTTAGCATGTTGGGGAGAGTGAATATGCTTTCAGCACATGCTAGTTTATAGCAATCACTGCTTATACCAAATGTTTTTGATCACCCACTATGTTAGAACAATTCCACAAAAAACAAAAATCTGTGTGATTTTTCACTCACTGTTGTTGTCTCCTCTTTGTCCTAACTTCCCAGAAATGCTAAAAAGATGGATGGAAAGGTAGTCAAAAAGCCACATATGGTGAATGACATTAAACACTAAAATCTTATGTTCTTTGGGTACTTATCCTTCTCATAATAATCGCAGTAGTCTCTGCACATAAGGAAATAAGTACTAGAAAGGTCATCACCTCTTAAACATTGTGTTTACTAAAGCGCAAAATCAAATTGCTCAAACTCAGGTGCTACAGCTCAGCTCTGCGGCCACACTATACTGTTGAAAGACCACCTTATAAATGTGCTACTTTTTCTTCCCAGTGGAAGCTAAGCTCCTCTATAACCACTTTGCAGCCAAGAGGCAGTAGACATTTTGTTTTCAGGGCTGTGGAAGGAGTGTACACAGCACAAGAGAAAGATTTTAAGAGGTGAAATCTCTCAAACTACCTTTTGCTTTATGAAAAAATTCAGCTACAGACACAACTATTAATCTTCATGCCCGTTCACAGTACCTTCACAGTCTCCATCTGAGGTCTTGATCTGACTTCTCTAGTTATGAATAAGTACTGTCATCAGAGAAGCTATAAAGCACCATAAAACATTCTTCTCTTACTGCTAAGGACATTTCATCTTCTGTAGAAGACGGAGTCATCCACTGCATACATTGCTTAAACAATACCAAGAGGAATATACACCAATCATAAGTATATACTCAAGCTACTAGGAACTACCAATGCGTGTCTGCATACTAAAGGCCTGGTTCCTATACAGATATACATATATATTTGCACATTTGCTTATTTTGAGAAATTTAATAGTCATATACTCACATGACTTCCTATTTGCTCGTGATCGCTTCCTCTCTCTAGGCACCGCTCGCTGGCTTGGCACTTGGGTGGCGGACTTTACAATGCGATCCATGATCTCATCTGCTGCATCATCTGTTGCATTAGGTGAATCATCGTTGCCAGCGTTCCATGAACCGATACGGCCTGGAAAAGTCCAGCAAATGAACTGAGGGAAAAGAATACTGAAGTCTCATGCGTCACTTTGGTTTTGCAGTTGAGTTTTTTTGGGAACTATAGCAGGCAGCTCAGTCATCGCTAATTCAAACTGGCCAAAGTAGAAGACTCTGCCTAATGGAGAATATTTCTAAATAATACCCTAGAATCTCTGCTGTATCAGCAGAGACCCGAGAGCTCAAATGCAATTATATCTTTCTATTCCCTTCAGCCTCAGAGTCTTATCCTTGACCATACAACTGGCAAATATCTGCTAGAGACTGTCTATGAGCCAAGGATTGCTGGAGTGTTGTGTGACCATGTTTTCCTCTGCTCCTATTACACAGAGACTAGAAGTCATGGCACATGTTAGAAACTGGCGCAAATCAGCAAGACAGGTCCTTTGGACCAAAAGAGAGAAACAATCCATTTCCAAGCATCTGTATCAGAGCCTAGTGCAAAGACGACACAAAAAGGGCAAAAAATGTGGTTCAACATGTCTAATTGTCCCTTTCACAGTGAAGAATTCACCTTCTCATCAGAAAGCTGTATGTATCCTGGCACAACTGCATGTACTCTGTTATGAGCAGAAAAGCAAGAGTCATTGGCAAGCTGAAAAGCTAAATAAGCAATTTTGGTTAAAACCACAAACAAACAAGTGAGCCATGTCTCCGAACCCAAGGCTCTGGCACTCCTTACTCCACAGAGCTGTGTCAGACACATCTTTGGGTTCCACCACGACAGACTACTGTTCCATGTGCTTTTTGTTTTTAAATAATTTGAAAGCTAGTATGCAGCGCGAACGCTGACAGCAAGCTTTGCGAAAGAGTGGGTGTGGTAGAATTGCAAGCAGCTAACAGTTCACTGGCGAGGCCACTCCATATCACGTCCCCGATGTCAATATACCACAGCTTTGATTAGCACTTTGCTCTGCTGCTTCTCTCCTGGCTCTCGTCAAGAGCAGTTGTATTACGACAGTGCTCCCGACAAGCTTCTGTCTGGCTCACCCATCCTCTGCCTCTGCCATTCTTCATTATCATTATCAGGACACACTGCTCGTTAGCATTCAATGGATTACTTCAGCTATTCAGCTTGTAGCAGTGCAGCTTGAATTATTTAATCTTTGTATTTTTAGCTAGTTGATTTGCTTCTTAAATTGGGGCTGTGAAACCTCTAAATTAGACAGGATCAGCGGTTCAAGCCTTAATAAACTACACACACACAGACTTAGTGGCGGATGCTCTGGATTCGCTATCAGTGGCATCAAAAAAGAACCAAGAAAGTGTAAGATATCCAGATGCGAGGGAAAAGAAATACCAGAAGAGAAAACTGAGGACTTGAATTGGTGCATCACCTTTACTCCAAAACCATCTTCCAGGTATCACATGTACGGGAGGGGGTGAGGGGAAGACAAAAGAAAATAAACTGGTGAACCCAGTGTCTGTAAAATGATTTAGCATAAAGGAAGTGGTTTAGTGGCTGCTTAAGTGAAGAGGTGTACCAGTGAATCATGTCTTGGACAAAAAACAAGGCTATCTCATTGCCAAGAATGGTTGTACCAGTGAGCTCTTCTGTCAGAGTATCGGGTGTTGGACTCGGTGGGTTGGGTCAGGTTTTCATTTCCTCCCTGTCAGCTTTCAGCAATCACCCGTGCTGACACATACAAACAGCAGAGCAACACGGACCTCAAAGAGGTATCTGTCAGGACAGCAAGGAGATGGGGGCTGTCCACAGCAGCTTTTTATGTTCCTAGGCTCCACTTAATCCACTACCTTTGCAGTTAAGCAGAGGTGGTTAAAAGATTCATCATCTTTTTCCTCTCTCCAGTCATTCCTAAAGTGCTGCAAGGCCCTTTCGCTTCCATTTGAATTGCTACTTTCTACATGCTTCTGTTGAAAATAAAAAGAAAACCACCTTCATGACAAGAACGTTAATAAAAATTGGGGTGTTAGAGGGCAGCCACATTCACGGAGGTGGGGGGAGAGTTGCGAATTTCTGCAGGCTTGTACTCCTAATGCCCCCTGCACTACTTTGGCTGTTACACACATGTTAAAACTTCAGGTAAATTCTCCTACATCCCTGTGCCCCAAATCACCACCTACATTGTGGAAACACCACTGGGGTTGTCTTCTTCCCCTTCAACCCGTTCTGCTGCGAGCGCTACACAAAGGGCCACCGCCCGCGTTTGGGCCGCTGTATGGCTACCATGCTACAAGAAAAGTGGCCAAAAGGAAACCGCTGGCACTTACCTCGGCTGGCTCGGCTTCGAGTGCGGACCCCGAGCGCCGTGGTGCTTTCCCCGCCGATGGAGGAGGTCTTCAGCACGGCCTTCATGTTCTCGTGCTCTGCAGCGTCCTCTGCGTACTGCAGCCCCTGGGGCTGGCTCTGGCAGGGCGGTGAGCTGCTGGAGAACTTGCCAGACTGCAGGAGGAAAACGGATTTGTTGTTTTAACCGAAACTAGAATGCAGAACAGGTCAGAGTCTTGACTGTGAACTGCAAGGAGAAGTGTCCTCCTAGGCTGGAGTGCAGATATCTCCCGAAGAGCCAGGGAACAGTTGCTCCTCTCTCAGAGCATGCACCCCGAGCAGAAATAAGCTGGAAACAGGGCAACAGCAAGGAGCAGACACAATCAGAGGAAAACCAGATGCATTAGCTCGAGCTTTATAATTTTGACCTTCTGTCTGAGAGTATAAGGTACAAAGCAAAGACTTGCTTTGAAACCTTCGATCCAGGCTGGGCCCAATCTGGGCTCAGGCATGACACCGTGGGGGGGGCAGCATGAGACTTGGCACAAATAAGAAATTGCTTTTTTCTGTTCAATCACCTTTCAGTAACACGGCAAAACTAGGAGAGTGGTCTGGGAAGAGAGACCTTTCCCTCTTGCCTCTCTGCATCACTAAACAGAAAACTCTCAAACTGCTCCATAACACAAATACCTACAAGTAACCTTAAAATACATTACCAGTAACGCTGAAAAAATCCCCGGTCCCAAAACACCCAGCCAAATTATTTCATGGCCAAAACACAAAAATTGCAGTTGGCAGTTAGAAGAACAAACAAAACCTTACAAGAGATTTAGGAATCTGCCCTCTGCTTCCCCAGCACCCCCCGTGATTTCCCTGTCACCACGACTACGTTAACAACATGTACAGCACGTGGATGCAGCAGCTCCACCAGTTACTGAAAACAGTCATCTAGAAATGGATGAAACAGCAGAAATGGATGCTTTCTAAGGAGAAGAAGAGTTTTGCATTGCTGGGCTGCTTTCCCTTCCCAGCCTCTGCCTACAAAGGGCTGCGAAGTTGGTATTCGCTCCACTGCTCTCATCTACAGACAGGCTGAAGCACATTTAAAATACAATCCTGGCTGCAGAAAACATGGGCTCTGTCAACAGCAGACAGACATCAACAGATAATAACACCCCTCGGTATTTTCAGTTGTAACAGTTCAGCATCAGAAACTGAAATATGTTTTCTTTTCCCTTTTAATCTTTCTTACTCCTACCAATTCAGCACAAATGAAGGAAGGTGTGCTGCATTCTCTTCTTCCTTTGCATAATAAGCAGCATTAATTATTCACTTGACGGTATCGAGCCAGTCAGTTAAAGGGATGCAAACCCGCAGAGCCTTTCTGTCAGAAAATGGTAAATTGGAAGAAAAGACAGGGTCCTACTTTCAGAGCTTTGATCAAGTCCTGGGGTTGTCAAGACTGCAAACTGAAAATATTTAATCTGGAAATCAATGACAAGATGATTCTATTTTAACATGACTTTTCTGGGGAAGGACAGCAAGTTAACTAAGTAGCAAAACAATAATCCCTACAAGGCACTGAGCTAAATATACCAGTGTGAGATTTATTTTTGATAGTGAGAAGTTTGTTTTCTTGCTAAAATATGAGCCTGCAACATTTTGATGAGGAAAGTGTGCAAGTGCTAGAGTTTCACACGTGAAAGTAAAAGACAGAAAAACATTAGAGAGAAACTTCTGTGAAAGTGCATGCCATTTTTACACTAAGAATACTCTCATATACAATGGATTTTAAAGATAATAAATACCAACTCAGGAAAAAACCCAAACAATAAAGCCTTCATATAGCTGTTAGTTACTATTCACACAGGTTAGTTAAATGTTGGCATAAAAAGGCTAATTTGTTTCATTTTCTTTCTCTGCCCCAAGCTATATAGCACAAATCAACACTGGAGGAGAGGCTCTATAGCCAGAAGTTTTATTTCACTTCCCTTAATTTTCAGATGTTTCTGTAGATAAATGCCCAAACCCCATCCTCTTGAGCAGATGACTGCCATTAATGAAACAGTGAGCATTAAGCCACATCATTGTTTATGTTCAGCAAATTGAAAAAAGCAGTAATGCTGAACAAAAAATGCATTGCACAATAGATGCTCGTCCAACAAATAAATTGGTTTAATATGAATAGCTAGTACATTACAGCTCTTAGATTATTTATTCACACCTTTACTTTCAACATCACCTTCAGGAGCACTTTATAATAAATACATGAACTACTCCACGGCTCACTTCTGTGGTGACTGAAGTATCTTATTCACAATTCACATAGCAAGGAGAACCATTACTATTTGCATTGCATCCTTATATCCTGATGCTTTTGAACACTCTATAAAATAATACTATTGGGCTTACACATCTTAATAATGACAATGAAATTATCATAGTAATCTATAGCCCGAGATCCCCATAACGTTCAGATCACTGAGTTGTGGAGATATTTTGCAGTTCAGTAAACGTACTAAGGAAAAGAAATGAGAAAACTGAAAATTATTAAGGCCTCAGATCAGGATATCCTTATTCAAAAAAGCAGGTATGCATGTGGTTAAAGTTTACTGTAAAAATGCATTCTTACGATTGAGCCAAAAAGCTATGAGAAAAATGTCATGGTTCATAACTCTAGTTGAGCAGATGGAGTTGAGCAGTCCATACTATCTGAGTTAGAAATTAGATGTCACAGCACATGGGGACATGAGAATGACATGCTCTTTCAGAGAACCATACCTCAGTATCCTCTTCTTCATCGGTCTGCCACCGGAAACAAAGGACAGGGTGGAGAAGGACAAACAGCAAGATTTAGGAAAGACAGTATGGTCAAACCATGACAGAGTAAGAGGTAACCATGGTACTGTTTATGCAACTATAGGAGGACATGAAAATACAAAGCATATAAGGAATTCATTCCTTAGACAATCCACTTGCCTTTTTTTTTTTTTTTTTTTTTTTTTAGTTAACAGACTGTCACCCTCAGTAGGGTATATCAGAATTTCTCAATTTTTCTTAGAGAAATTATCAACTGAAACTACCCCTAACCCATCCTATTTCTCTCCCTTGAGTCATGTGATTGCTTGCCCATTTTTTGCCCAGTGGAAACTGAGAGCACTAGGAAGGACTCCCTCTCCTGTTTCCAGCTCTCTTCAGCACAGGGAGGTCCTGGCTGCTCTTTCTCCCAGTGCAGAGGTCGGCTTCTTGGCAATTGCTTTTCTCTACACTTAAGTGCTTGTTTTAATTCCTTTTTTAAGCTGGGGCTTTTCAACTTCAAGTTCCAATTTAACTGAGCACTCAAATCAAATGTTGAGTAGTCTTTGAATAAATGCTTAAAGTTCTTCAGTAGCTGCTTGATACCAAATCCTGGAAATTAAAAAGAGACGCAATTATCCTTTGTCATTCAGGGCTTTCACCCTCTGTGACAGCAGGCGTGTAAAACTATCTGGACAGTTACACAACATTAAATGCAATGGGCATATCAAAATATTATGGCATACAGAGTGTTCTTAAATTTGGGGATTTACAGGGAATTAGCAAACTATTTAAAGTTGTGTTCCCAAATGCCAGGGGAATTCTTCATTGGGTTGTAAGATGCCCCACATGGACCGTTCCCAAGTAAAACACAGTTTCTCAAGTATCTGGGCTCCTTGTTTCCATAATTTTCAGTTTGACTGCTTATAAAGTGCAAACATAGCCCAGAAATTTGATGCATCTATTTTATTTGTGGGTTTTGTTTTGTTTTGTTTTTTTAGAAGAAGCATTCCACCAATTCTGTTCCCCTCCCTAGTGTTACTAACACATATTTTTGACCTTATCTCCATCTCAGCTATGATTTCTGTCTGGGATTGATACATTCTGTTCCAGAAACATTCATCATTAAAAATGAAAGCCCGATTTACTTTGGCCCTCAGCTTAGTTTCAGCACAATCTCCATAAGAAGATTAGCTGTGAGAGTGCTGAGCAGCACATTAACATTACTTTTTAAGGGTATGTTTTATTCGAAGAGTGAGATGCCTATTTTTCTTTGGACGCAGTGGCACTGACAGAAACACAGGCAGATATTTTGCAGGGGACCTCGGCAGGTATGTTCCCTTTACATTATGAAAAGATCCATTTGTTTTTTTCCATCCCTTGGGGGGGGGGCAGGGAGAGTCACACCGTAAAGCAATTCTTCTGAAAAAGGCCACTGTTCACTTTTTGGCATGAATAAGAAACAGAAAGGAGAAGAATAGGAAGCAAGAACATATTTGTATTCTAACCCATATGTACATCTATCTAATAAATAAAAGGCAGGAGGAGAGCAAATTAAGCTAAACTATGCAAAAGACACTCAGGGAAAGATGAAAAAGCAGAGTACACACATTATAAAGAGTGTGTTCCAAACAAAAGTGTATTGCATTATTACTTTACATCAAACTAGATTTTCACAGGGAAGGTCCCAGCTGCTGGCCTTCCTGCTCATTTAATCCAGCTAAAAGTGATTTGCTATGGACTTTAAGGGCAATGTACTCCTTTCAGTTTGACTTTGCTCATCTCCAGTATCTGGAGCATTACCATTTCCCTTTCTCCTGCCTTGCGTGGAGGGGGCTCACAACTAGAACTGCTGTCTTTCTACACCCAAAGCCACTCCAGTGCACAGGAGGTGTGGCTCACCATCTCCTTCGTGTTTCCATGTCTGGAGAGCCATTTGCCCCCAGCAAATACTGAACACAAGAGTCAAAGTAGCAAAGTAAATAAATCAAACTTTCTTTTCAGGACGGGAATCTGCTCTCACTCAAGTGTGTGCATTCTGCCTTTTCTTTCCTTCTTGATTTCATCATTATAAGTACACTGAGAAATGTTAATAAATTAGGAAATTTTTAACATGTAATATTACTAAAAAGCACTGGAAGAAAATTGCTATATTGAATACCTCCTGCAGGTATAAGATGTTAATTTTAAGAAAAAAAAGGCTGGTCAATTCTTTTGTCATCCAACATTGGATGTTGCAGGACAATCTGAGCTCTCTCTCCTTCCTTTCCTCCCTCCTTCCCTCTCTCCCTGCCTCCCATTTTTCCTTCAGGCTAGCATTTCTATGTGGTGGATTTGCCATTTCAAAATATTATTTCTATTACATAGCAATTTTGGAATTGAAACTCTTAAGTATTGTAAAAAAGCAGAGCTTCATAAATCTGGAAGACAGATGCTTATATTACCTCCTATTATTAAAAACATTAAAAAGCTCAGACTTGTACCTATAATTGCATTTCTTCCCTATTTTGCTTGCTTGTTATTTTTAGTGTGCCTGAAATGAGTGACGGCTATCACTGGCTAAAGCCAAATATAAGGTTACAGAGATTAGGCAATTTTCCCTGTGAAACTGTGGCAACTCACTGTTGTTCTTTTTTTTCCTTCCAGCCCCATCTTTCTCTTTGTCTCTCGTGCAGATGATACTCACCCAGATTTAAACTGACAGTGCCCAGTCCGCTTCAGCTATTAAAGAACATATAAACATAAAGATCTCTGTGGTAAAAGGCTGAAAGAAAGACTGGAAATATTCCTCATCGTGTTTCTCAGCCCTACTCCACGTGAGCAGTTGCTGAAGCTGATGCAAGTTCTCCATGCAAAGAGCCAGCAGACTCTCTCCATGCAAAGAGCCAGCACCCCTCTGCCTTCCAAGTCTGCAGGGGGGGACCAAGGTTTAAGAGATACGTGCCTTCTGGTTAAGAACTGGGATGGTTCTGGCTTATTCCTTTCCCGTTTTTGCTAAAATCCCTCCTCTTCTGCCTAAAAGCAATGTACTGCAAGGTGATAAAAATGAGGTCCTGAGGAAACTTTCAGAAGGACAGGGAGGTAAATATCAGATCCTTCTAGGTCACCAAAAGCAGAAATTAAAATTCCACATGACTACTTCTTATTGGAATTACTCTCTACAAAGCGTTTCTTTCCGATGTCAAGATCTAAACTTTCTTCTGTCAGTGTTTTGTAACTAGTTGAACACACTGTCGATGCATTACTGATATATCTTCCCTTTCCAATGACTTCAAATATAAAACACTAAGAAAATCAAAACCAGATACAAACCGCAGCCAACACAAGGCTACAATAAAACTCCCCTTTTTCATCATTCTTCACACATAAATATCTTCCATCCTGCTGATTTGGAAACTTGTTTTGAGGTAGATCTGACTTTGAAGTTGTCAAAGGAAGCTGTGACAAATAGTCTGATGCAACTTTAATTCTGTTTTACTGTGTACTGCAATCAAATGAATGGTGAATGAGGCCATATTACTGGGCTACAGTTAAAAGAGATTTAGTAAATCCTGAAATAACCATATGGCCACATGAATAACTCCCTTAAAGGGCACCTCTATGAGGGGAATTTTAAAGAATGTGGTTTTTTACTCCAGCAGGCTTTTTGTTTTTAAGCTAATAGGACCATCATATCATTGTAAATTAGTGATAGGCAAAAAATGCTCCCTTTCTGGGGACCTGCAAGATATTTTTAGGTGGAACACTAGCTGTCAGATGGCATTTAATTCTTGTCAAATCTCAACACTATCTTGGCCTGATCAAGACATCTTCTTCCAATTACATGTTTTTCTGGGAAAGGCCTTGCTGCCTCCTTTCCTACATTTTCAGAAAAGGGACACTGTCCCTGGTTCCACTCGTCACTGACTAGCTGTCAACCCTGAGCCTTTTTCCGGTTTGAAAGGGTCCCTTCCCTCCGCTTCCTGAACCCAGCTGCCAGTGATCAGATTTCCTTTTCCTCTTGCAGGAACAGGACATAGAGAAGCTTTCTGTCCTGCCACAGCCAGTTCTTCTGGACAAATAATACAGAAGCACAACGTCTTATACTAGGAAAATAGTAACTCCTTCACATCTTAGTATTGATTAAACTAGTAAAAAGTATTGAAGCTACTGGAGGAAATGAACATTTTAATTTACCAATCTCTTTGCTATCTTTTGCTCCACTAGAATATATTAGGAAAACTGGGAAGCAATTGAAGAAAGTGATCTCAGTTCCCCAGTGGTAGCTTTGAAAATTTGTATGACTATATTATAGTATATCCTTCACCTTTTCCTTAACCTCAGGCTAGAGCAAAAGGAAAATCTTTTGAGATAGTAATACAGGTTTAACATTTTCTGTAGATGGGGCAGATTTCCAAATTTAAAGAGGATATTGCCAGGAAAGATCTACAAATGACCGTGAGTCAATGACTTAAATACAATCTCAATTTAAATCGGTCTCAATACATATATATTTTGACCAGTGTTGTGTGAGCCATAAAACTGTAATCAGCTTAGGGCTTTTCATGTCAAAGGCAGGGGTAGCTTCATATGCAATGAACCACTCGCATCTAATCGAGACTCCAGATTTGGATTTTGAGACAGCTGGAAACTTTTATTAAGTACTGGCACTTCTTAAAACTTTATTTGGATTGAGTCAAACTACATCAACTTAAAAAAAAAAAAAAAGATAAAAAAAAATCAAGTGGATTTTAAAGCTTACTATGCTGAGAAAGCTAATCTTATTTTAAATTATTCTATCAGTATGCAATCATACAGTCAAAAAGTTTGCAGGGTAGCATCTACTGTGACCATAAATTTCCATTCTTTCAGAATTCCAAAGTAGTCTGTTCCCATAAAATTGGCTATGTGCTTTAAAGTTAAGAATAAAATTGCTATGCATGTGCATGTATATATATAAAATAGATAAAATACTAAGAATAAAGACTATATTAGAATATTCAAAGTTAGAGGAAAAATCCTTTTAAATTTGGTTATAACTACTTAAATGGCTACAATGGTTCATCATTTAAATCATATCCTCAATTAGGAGCCTAATTTATAGGGTTTTTTTCCTTTTTCATATTCTTGGCTGACCAGGTACATGCAGCTCCTGGTGTCTTCTAGATATTTTGTGCACTGTGTGACACATAGAGATGCTCTTTCTGGATGCTTAATTTCAGTTTGTTCTCATTCTATAAATTGGTATGAAGTGAAAAATATACACAATCACGGACTTGAAAGTTTTTTCTTCTAAGAGAACAGAGTTCATTACTTACAGCAGAAGAACCTCTTAACAGTAAAAGTAAAGAGCAATTACATTTCACACACGACATTCAATGAAAGAAAGTTTTAAAAATCCATGCTGTGGGAGATACATTTTGACACTTACATCTGTTATCATTTTCCCTCTGGTCTTGTTTCTTTCCCTGTGGTTAGCTCGTTTCTGTTTTTGCTGCAAAACTCGTTCCCTGGTGGTGCGGTATTCCAGAGCAAATTCGCTAATAATTTTGCAGAACTTATTGATGTTGACTTCACGTATTGCATAGGGAGGATGGCCCATAAATAATAAAAATGAATGAAACCTGAAAAACAGTAAGTTCATAAATGCAAAGGGAAAAACATTTTCTTGATGGTTTCTAGGAAAACCCTCCACATTTCAGTGAATCCGTTTATTACTTTATTATCTCCCATCATTTCTTTTGTGCTACAGAATTTTCATGGATGCTTTGCATAACACTGGCATGTCTTATAATTAAAACCATGAAAGTCTAGTCTATGGTAACTTCATCCCAGTCCACTTTCCCAGGCTGATGCAGGAGATAAGATGTTTATGGAACTCCATCTACTTCATATGACTAATTTGGCATGTAAATGACCAATTTAATTTCAGTTATAGGAAAAATTATTAAGTTTCAATTCTATTTATTTGTGTTAAGCAACTTCAAAGAGGCTGTTTGGATGTTGGGGAAAGTCTAGACAAGAAGAATGCAGATTTACAGGCTAGTAAACACAAGAAGAAAAGAATTTCAAGTTCACAAAACTGACCATAAAATTATATTATCTACCAAGTACTTTAGTTTGGGATACTCTCAATTCACAGTTTTACTGCTTCTGTGGCATTCAGAGCTTTTGCACTATTTGCAACTTTTACTATTGCTTCTACATTGCATGATTTACAATAGCACACTGAATGTTTAAAAATGTGTGTGAATCCCTTTTAACTGCATCTATATCCCTGACAATGTGAAGTCTTCCCAGTCCTAGAAAGATGCAATTACATGGACACAGTTTTGGAGAAGCTTATAGTAGTAGCTGCAGCACATAATAGGAAAAGTTAATGCTTTTCTTATTTATACGATGCATAAGATAAACACAACAGAAAACTGGTGAATTCACTTCCCTTCCATTGCAATTGGGATTTCTGCTTCCTTATGGTATGAAAAAGAAGTCATTATGGAAACAAAAGAAGAGCTGAATCAACTCCTCAAGTGCATATCCACAAATTTGGAATCATTTGGAATCCAGATCCTAATTTTGACCAAAAGTTGCTAGCTTTTGGGGACTAGGAGCTAAAGGACTCAGTTATTGCAGCTTGGGAATAAATGATTGCCCGGATCATTGCTTCTTTTCATCAGAAATATAGAAACTTTCTGGAGCGGGGAACTTTCTTAAATGGCGTCAATAACAAAATATGCACCACATACATACTGGTAACGTTACTTGCTGGAATGTGGATTAAACACTTATAAAAACATAGTTATGATGTCATAATTTATAATTTTAGCAAGTCATTTATCACCAAGATATTGCTGTCACAATCTAATTCTGTACCTGTTAATTATTCTTCTATGAACAATCTTCAGGATTATGATTCTTTCTGCACAGTCTTTAAGGAACTCGGACATTTTTTGCTTTAAAGTTGGCTTCATTTCATGCTTTGCTATAGCCTTAAGGTGATCCCATGATGCTTTGCACCGTCTTTCCATCTGACACAAGTTTTCCTGGAGTTGTTCAAAGTCAACCTGAGAAAAAAGAAAAGAAAAGAAAATGTAACACTTCAATTGAAAACGCTGCGGTAGTATCCTTGGATATCTGAACAATGTAATTTATGTATAAGAAAGGGTCAATGTGGTGGCAGCACAACATTAATTCACATTATTAATTACTACTTAATAATTAAGAAATAGCTTTCTGTTGCACTTTGTCTAGACATGAAATGTAAGTAAGAAAAACTGAAAACAAAGAAACATACCCATATACATATATATATCTGGTTTTGGTCTTGGAGGCCTAATACCTAAAGAAGGGACAATAAAATATTGTGATGTGTTTTTTCCCTTGCTAATAACTTCGTGGCTGCACCAAGCAACTGCGTGACTCAGTTATTTCTGAGGTAATACAAAACTTTCTCTTTTTCTTAATCCTTTTCTCTACTACTCATAGCTTTTTATACCCTGCTTACTGCTGACTGTCATACCCAGCCAACACTTCTCCAATTTAGGAAGCACTTGGATCTATTCCCTAGCCATGCACTGACTTGTTAATAGATGATCTACTTCTAATCACAAAATTCATGGGCCAGAATTTTTTAAAGCTGTATTGAAAGTAAGTGTTATTTAGTGATCTCAGCACTAACTTTCAGCCCTTGATATACAATACGAATTTGCTGGCTTGTAACAAGATCATATAATGGCTTTGAAAGTCTCTCAACGCAGTTAAAATAAATGATTGCATCCTACAGTACCATTCATCAGGACAGAAGCCAACACATTCCACAGAAGGTGAGAGAGAGCTTCTCCTTTACTCATGGACCAAAAAAGGTGTTCAAATCCCAGTGGTCTAGAGAAGACATTCAGGATGCCTTGCTAACAACTGGACAAAGTGCATTAACGACCCAGCCACAGCACACAACAGATGAAAAAAGTAAAGCTATCCAACATGTTCTTGAATTCTGAAGAAAGGAAAAATGTATTTTATAATACCACTTCACAGTTCAGATGAACTCAAGCTATAAAACACAGATTTAGCTCTCAGATTCTAAACATGTCAGTGTTTGGGATATTACAGTCTCGTACACTAGTTAATTCCTTAATCCTAAATGAAAACCAGTGTCAGAGACAGGTTTTAGTTCACTTTTTTTTGCTGTGTGCAGCACCCACTGCTGAGACCTATACTGTGGACAGCCATGAGAAATGCATTATTATTAAAAAGCTCCTGGTATTGATTTGATTTGTTTTTGCTGTGATTTATAAAGTGATGAATTTTTCCTCTTCACAAGGACATAAAAACATCCTTTGATCCATTCTGCTATTCAGAAAAGCCCTGCAGGCGGAGCAGCTGTGAGGTTTTTGTTTTTCTTCTATTCATATCAATGCATATTGTTTTTTTTAAAAAAAAAAAGTCCTTTCCAGGTCAGTATTTTCACTGTTGATGATAAACACATTGCTGCTCTCCACAGACGGTATATCTAAAACATACATGGGGAAAAATACTAGAATTCCTATTAAGAAAGAAAAGCCAAGAGGAGCTATTTCTAGGTCTTACTAGTAAGAATTATCCAACCTGGTTAGGGTCCCAGCCCCTGTAGTGGAGAAATTTAATTTTATGACATTTTATGACAGCTCTCACTGAAAACAGAATGAGTTTTAATCTATGAAAAAGCTCTGAGGTTCAAGCCTGTAGGGGTTCAAAAGATCTCTGGAGAACAGCCTATCTGCAGGGAAAAGATGTGGCAAATTCCTTGCCCCTTGAAATCTGCTGACAGCCAGTGCATTCACAAGAGTGGGCAGTTTCACCAGGGACCGGGGATGGCAGGTCTGGCTAAGCGATGCACAGGAATTTTTTGTGCACAAACAAAAATTCAGATGTCCATTGAAATCCTAAGGAGACCACGGCAAGGAGAATGCCACCTGAGCTCCCCTGGAGTAAACCTCCATGGAGCACAGATGGCTCTGCTCGAGTAGAAGTTGTAAACTCCTGAAAGGAATAAAGCAGGAAATCCAATGTAAGGTAACGTGCCTGTGAATTCCCCACATGCAAACTGTGCTGTGCCCGCAAGAATGTGACAAACCTTCATGAAATCAAAAGATCTTCCTGGTGCCAGCTCTCCAGAGTTTGGTCACTTGTTTGTGGGCAGAAAAAGAATACACATACAGAAAGATATCCACGTGTGAAATATTAAAAGTCAAAATTTTTCAGAGACAACCATGTACCCAACCTGGTATTTCATGAAGTGCTATTTCACCAGTGTAAATTTTGCAGGTAGGCACAGAATCCATTGCATTTCAGTCTGCTCTAGGTCTTACATGTAAGGAGTTAAGTGAAGCTTTTTTCATACTTGATATACCATACAATATCCCCTTCTTCTATCCAAGGTGTAGAAACTGCCTCCCAACAGAGCACCAGGTAACAAAGCTAAGTCTTCAGATCTTTCTAAAAAACACATGCAACCAAACAGCCTGCTGACAAGTTTTTTTCCTACTAGGTCTCACAGAAGAGAGATTTAAATGTTCAGGCTGGATCAGCTCAAAGTGAAAATGCTGAAGTTAAAAATACTTCTACTAAATTTATCAAAACATTTGATAGTTTGCAGCTTTAGAGTACTACCTGCATGACATTTCAAATCACAAAAACCAAGCAGAAAATCCAATATAGGGTAATGTGCCTGTGAATTCTCCACACGCAAACTGTCCCGTGCCCGCGAGAATGTGACAAACCTTCATGAAATCAAAAATCCCACCCCCCTCCATCTCTTTTTCTCCTAAAAGCAATAGCACTAATGTGATGCTCTCCAATGGGAAATAGTGTAATGTGACAAGCACGGTCACCCTCACTGTATCTCCTTTCTCCTTACTTTAGATACCCTGCCCTCGTTTCCTTTGCCATTCCCATTTGTCTTCAGTGCTCATGTTCAGATAAGAAATTAGCCATAAACCTTGTAGCACAGTAAAGCCAAAGATACTGATCTTCTAACTGGACTCTCCTGCAATTGCAGACACTTGTACACAGGATCCAGGTGATACTTTTTTTCCTAGGCTGGTGGAATATAATATTCAGGTTCCATGCCAGCAATTAGTGTATATCTCAAGTGTACGTATCAACCCTCACAGACACTGGCTTTCCATGGCTATCGGAATTAGCAGTGTGTATTACCAACTGATAAAATACACCAAAATCCTGTTGAAGTAATATGCTCTTATTCTGCAAACTCTTACATTTTCTAAGCCTTGTAACATGTTGGAATATTAACCAAGACAGACAGCTACTAATTCCCTTAATTATGAGCACCAGATTCCACTGAAAAGCAGGATCCTGAGGAATTTTACATCCTCAGATCCTCTTTCCTCTTCACTGTGAAGCCAAATGAATCATGGACATGAAGAAGCTTTTGTAATATTCTAATCAGCAGCAGTCCAATGACTATGTGGCCAACAAGCCTCCACATTTGATGCAGATTTGTGTCACAAAACAGCAGGTACTTGTATCAGTAGAAAAATGTAAGTAAAATACAAATCCATCTGTGCACAAATGTTTAAAATCAGTCACATTGTTCAGCAATATCCTTGTAATTTCCTTTTTTTGGTCATTTTTGCTATTATTGTTGTTCTGTTTAGGATGTCTTCTAACACTGAAAATGTTACAAATGCAACAGTAACGATGATAAATGATCATAGGGACACATTGCTGGAGGATAAAGAGAACAAGAACTCGTGTGGAGTAATAATGACAATTACTCAATCTAATATGCATAAAGGAAACATGAAAAGGCATACATAAGACAATACCACATCCCTGCCAGTCCACACAGCATTCCCAAGGGAAGAAGGATTGCACCTTTTCTTTTATGTGTTTATTTCCCACACTTTACTAAAAGAATTAATGCTGCAAAATGGTAGAAAGTTGTGATTCCTTTCTTTTTTTCATTCTTTCTTTCTTGAAAGAAAAGATGCACGGGTTCTTGCCTGCAGCTGGAAGGCCATGCTGGGTCTGAGGAGGAATTCAGATGACTTTCTCATCACATTGTGACTCCAGGAGACCTCAGCATAGAAGGTGCTTGGACAAGAACTGCTGTTATTTTATTAACTATGTTGCACTGAATAAAAGGAAGATGTAAACTGAAATGGTTGTTACAGCTTTCTCCCTGGATACCTGTTGTGCCCAGTCCCAGGTTTTGGAGGAAGGTGGAAACATACGTTCTTCTTCTTCCTTCTCAACTCAGTACACCTATGAGCAAAAGACATGCAGCTTGCTGGTCCTGCTGACTATTACCTTCTGCTACAATTTTAAAAATAAATCTCCTTTTTTTCCCTCAGGCAAAAGAATAAGCAGTCTTAGGCTGTTACGCAAAATAAAAATTACTTTTCTTTCAGGCACTGTGTAATGTTTATTTGCATTTGTAAACCAATTTAGAAAAAGCAACTTTCTAAATGCTTCCGGGATATATTTGATATGTTCCTCCTTTCTCCTGCCAGGTTCCTCTCCATTCACAACAAGACTAGCTGAAAAATAGTCAGAACTAATTGTTATTTATCTGTGAAAGTGGGCCTTGCTAGGCCCACTGTTCAGTCTTCTGAGAAGTGCCTTTGTAGACACTGTTGCATCAGCGTGGAGTAGCCGGAGACAGTCTACCCGAATAGGATTTAAAGACTAGTTTACATGACACAAGGCCTGCAGGGTCAGCCTCATTCAGGAAACCATTGCCATAACTCGCTAATCAGCAATTTAAAAAATTTTAAAATAAAATCTAGTTTTCAATTTAATGCACCACCATATATTGCACAAATGACACTCAGATGAAGAATAAAACCTTCCAACCACATGCCAGCAACGCCAGCACTCATTTTAATCCCTTTATATCATTATTTATTGCTTGCTACCATAGTAACAGATGACTCTGCCATAAACAACACCACAAAAAAGAATTCTACCAGGTTTCTCACTTCATTGGGCTGAGAATTCAATATCGCACGATGCACCTAATGACTTCTGTTCTCGCTGGTTTTCACCTGACTCGAAAACCACC